GTTGTTTTCCTGAGGCAGACATTACTTGACCTTTAAATAAACAATTTAGGGCTTACAAAAACTTGGTACTGGACTCCTCAGAAATGCCAGCTGTGTGTAGAGGAAATGCCAGCCATGGAAATGAGAGAACGTGCAGCCCACAGCAAACTTCCCACTACTGCCTTTGCCACATGCAATATGAGAAGGATGAAGATGTTAGCTCAGTCTCCAGAAGCACTCAGTTCCCAGCACATCTGGTAAGACTGGCAGGAAGGATAAACCAAAAATGGTGATGTTGGCTTATTTATCAACCACAAACCCATTTCAATATCAAGAAGTCAAAACAACGGCCAGGAGGTCTCCATCTGAATGGGTTTCCATAGCATTCAAAGATGTAAAGACACATAGTCCAAATAAGGGATGATGTTAACTATGCTGCTGTCCTAGGGTGGGGGTCAAAGGCTGCATAATTTATTCCAAATGTCAGTATACCTAGCCCTTTCCAGAACACTAACCAAAAATATTCATCTTTAAGAGTTCTTTGCAAAATTACTCATAATGAGTATTTTATTTAATAATGAGCCCTTTAGAAATTTCTTCAGTGGTTTTAATGCATCACCATAGGAAAGCTTTAAAGTTAATAGACTTGAACATTATAATCATAATGTTTGGACTGTTAAAACTGCTGACAAGACTAATAAACCATGGTGGATTTGAGGTATCGCTGGTGGATTTGAGTAGAGTATCACTGATATACTTCTGCAGGATAAAGTGTCAAAAAGCCTCCTGTTGCAGGCAAGAGTGATCTTGGTGATATGCTTATTAAAAATGTCCCATAAAGTTAACAGAGGCTTTCAGTTCTCAGGAGGAACAAAGCTGTCCCATATTAAGAACCATGCTGCTACAGGTAGATTCTTGGATAGAAACACATCCAAAACTGGGTCCAGTTCACAGTTATAGGCCTATGTTGACCGCAAGTCTATCAAATGTTGTTTGGTTGATATTACTTTGAATATGCTGAACAGGCAATTTTCTTGGGTTTAATTGGATCTTCCTATAATTTTATCCAATTATCTGCAGGGGTAAATTGCTGTATCCCCTGTGCAATTACATAGCAATATCAAGCACTCCTAACAACAGAACAATAAAAGATGAACAGATTTTTGTTTTATTTCCAAGGAGGAAGAGTTAATGGTGAAAGGCGGTGTTGGGTTAGTCCTGATAGGCCTTGACTATCAGGAGACTGTAGGCAGCACAGGACTAATCTGTTGACACCCTGGGTTTGTGGTTTTCTACCCCTGACAATGTGACTGAGAACTGAAAAAGACATGATGTAAAAAGGGACCCTTCTATAAGACTATTTGAAGGACATGTGGATAAAATTATTGGCAACTTTGTCGGTATGTAATGTAATGTCTCTCAAGCTATTCCTTCATACAGGTTTTTATAATGTTTAGAGCAGTATTTCTTATGTGGCTTAAAGACTATATAATCAGGAATCTCCAGCTACTAGGGCTGCCATCTGGAGAACCCTAAAGGGTTTCATGGACAACCTCTGAATGAAAGAAGCCTGCAGCTCCAAGAGACTCAAAAAGACTGAATCTTCTTACATCAGGATTTAATATTGTCCAAACTGTGCAAAATTTGTGTTGTGCCTTACAGCTAGCTGAGGATTTGTGGCTATTTCACAGTTTGGAAAGGCGAGCTTTGAGGTTTCTAGGTCAGAATTGTTTGACAAGGATTTAGTGTCATCCACAACTTGGGACATGTTTACAGGCTTTCTTGTTTAAAGGCAAGGCTGTAACCGTAGAAAGAGGCTACAAGGGTAAAACTCGGAGGAAAAAGATGATTCGCTCCAGTGATTTATCCTCACACTTCAAGACTCAGACTAGGAGAGTTCCTCTTGTTGCATGAGGCATGACTGACCTGTCTTTCCATTATTGCAGTGCTGAGTTATTACAGTTTTGAAATGTAAACAGGAAAGACTTCATAACCTATGGGGTAATCTGCACAGGCTAATTTGTACCTTCCTGGAAAGCCTACATCCTTGCTTAGTGAAACAGGGCATTGTGGAATCTTAGCCAACTTTTCCTGTCATTTGGGAAATCAAAGACAACACAACAGACAAGCAGAAAGAGACCATTTAATTACCACTAACCCTTCTAAGCATTCCTGGTTTTCTTAGTCTATGTAGCGGGACAGTTGGAATTATGCTGTAGCATGGGGGAACATTACACTGGCCTCTTGTGCATCATAAGCCTTTTCATTGACAAACTAACACTTTTTTAATGAGAGTTTCTGAAATTGCTATCCAAACTACATTCCTTATCCCGGATCTCATCTTTAGTACCTCTCCCAGAGGTATCTGGGAGTTCGGATCCAGATATATATGCGAATCCAGGCCTTGACCAGGCCCCAGTGAAGTCACTAAAAATATTGTTGGTGCTGAACGGGTATCTACTAGGCTCAAATGAAAAGTAAAAGCCATTCAAGGAAAAGTGGGAGACAAACTACAGGTTATTTTTAAAATCAAAATAGGCCACCTTTTTCTCTCTCACTTCCACCCTTCACTTACTTTTTTTAAAACTGTCTTAACTTTATAAGCAGTTTAAAGTAATTGAGAAAATGTTTAAATTTAAAAATGAGGAATAGTCCTGGACCAATGCCCTAAAAATGTCATGTGACCTTCCTGATATATAACTCTTAATTTTGGAAGTTACTGACTCCAGTCAAGAATTTTTGGTGATGATAAAATACTGATACGTAGAAAAAGAAATACCAGGAGGCTGAGAAGCGAGCTTTTGTTCACAGGTATCACCATTTCTGGAAAAATGGAAAAAGAAGAAAGAGCACCTGCAAAACTTCGGTGTGTTACGCATTTCATAAGCATAACCTCAGGGTGATGTTAATGTAATCATTTACATGGGCATATTAATTTTTGCAACGTTTGTGGCACTAGTTAACCTGTTCTTTACAGAAGTGTTACACTCCTGAAGCAGCCCCTTCAAGCTACAGAGGCAGGTGCTGGCCTGCCATTCTCTGCCCACCTCAACACTACTCCTGATTCTGCAAAGTGTTACAGATGCACATGTCATTCCCTCGCAGACCGGAGTGCTCAGGCTGAGATGCTGTCTGCAGGCTAGAACAAGACTGGAGAGCTGTATTCCCGTTGGAGTCCCACAGCTAGAGAGCACCTGCTCCTGGCACCCACCTTGGGATGTGGAGAGGGAAACATGAGCTAATAAGCACTTCTGTTTCACATCCATGCGTGTGTGACTGTGGAAAACAAGGCACCTGGTGATGCTGGGTCCTCAATAGGAGAAAAGCCGGTGGACTCTGACTCCTCTGGTGTCTTGCTCCCCTCACCTTCCCTAAACCCAGGCTGCCATCCAGCCCTTGATCCCCGCAAAGAGAGAGCCGTTTGCCAGTCTTCTCTCGCTCTGTGGGCAATGTTAAGGTGGAAAGGGCAGATGAGGAAGTAAATGCAGACATCTGCCCTTTGTGGTGTCCCTGTCCGATCACGAAGTGGGGGAAGGAAGATGAGGGGACAGGGTGAATTGTGTGCTAGTCAGGGGGCGGATGATCTAAGTATCTGAAGTCATTCGAAAGGTCAAAGCAAGCATTAACTCTTCCCCGCCCTCCCTCCTCTTCGGGGCTCGGGGGAAATCACAGTCTGCCCAAACTAAATGACAGCTTGCTGGGACTTAATGACAGGCTCGAGGCAGACGAGTCGCGGACGCCCAGACAAAAGGAGGAAGTTCGGTGCTGCCGCTGACCCGAAAAGGGGCAGGGGCAAAGGCAGGGGCTGAGCCGGGACAGGAGGTCAGCGGCAGCCGCTCCGCTCCCCCCCGCGGCCTCCCCACGGGACTCCGCATCACCGGCACGCTCGGAAGAGCCCTCTACCGCTTCCCTCCCGCGATCCCGCCGTAAACCTGCCTCCCCCGCCAAGCACTGCAAAATGAACGGCAGCCGCCCTCAGGCAGGAGAGACGGGGAGCGGGCAGGACGCGAGGTAAGCGCAGCTCCTCCGTCCGCAGCCGGCGGGGACACGTCCAGCCCCGGGTAACTGCGGCTTTAAGCGATTCGAGGGAAACCTCGCGGTTTTCACACACATTTTTTTCCCCTGCCGGTCTCTCTCCCCTGCTCGGTTTCCTCCCGCTCTTCCCCTCTCGTGCAGCCCTCTCTCCCGCTCCCTCTCTCCTCCCCTCGCAGCCGCCCCCCCCCCCCCCCTTTCTCCCTCCCCTCAAGTTTCTCCCTCTGATTAAATGAGAAGGAAGTGTGGGAGTGGTGGTTTTGAAGCTCTCCCTTTAAGAGGCAGCCTGAGTGACGAATTGTTGAAATTGCCATTGCAGGATGGCATTCCGCTATAAATTCATTGTTCCACCTCCTCTCATCTTCACATTTCTCTCCCTTCTCCTCTTGTTCACATCGACAGACTGGGGATAACAACAACAACAGAAAAGATACAGGGAGGGTTTTTTTTTTACAAAAATCCGGGACGGTTTCCGCTTCTTGGGTTTTTCTTTTTTTTTTTTTTTTTCTTTTTTTAACCATCTCACCGGAGACGAACGAGGCGATTTGTGCTGCCTGAATTTCTTCTCTCCCCTTCTCCTCCTCTGCAAAACAAAAGGAGGCAAAGGAAGGAAAGGGAACCCACCGGAGTCCGAGAAAGTGCCGAGTCGCAGCAGACCTGCCCCCCTGCCCCTGCTGCTGCTGCTGGCGATGATCCGGTGACTACAGAGAAGTGGAAGAGGAGTGGGAAATGCTCAAACTTCTCTACTTGCCGGCTCCGAGCTTCCTCTCCTCCTTTTTCTCTCTCCCTGACTTGCCCCCCCAGCAGCAGTGATTTGGGATTTTTTTGCCTCTCTGCTTCCATGCGCTCCCGGCTCTTCCTTGCAGAGAAACACAAAGTTCACAAGCGAGCGGCTTTTGTTGACATTTTTTTCTCTCTCACTCACACTTGACTCGAGTTTGGGAAGGAGAACTTTTCTTTTTTTCTCTTTTTTCCCTTTCCCTTCCCCCTCCCCCCTATTCCTACCGCTTCCCTACTTCCCTTGACGACGCTGCCGCACTCCGCGGACCGGCTCTTTTCCACCCCTCTCCCCAACTCCTGTTGTTATTATTACTACTATTAATTACCACCACCACTGCGGCCGCTCCTGACGGCGAGGCAAGCATGCTCCTGAGGCTGCTCTCCCTGCTGCTGGCAGCCGAGCTGCACCGCGCTCTGGCCCAGCCGCCGGCACCTGCTGCCGCCGTAGCGCCGCCACCCCCCGCCGTCTCCCCGCACCCGCCGCCCCGGGCCCGGCCCGGCCCTCCCCCCGGGCCGCCCCACGGGGCCAGCGGCGTCGTGCAGCGCCTCGACCCGACCTACGCGGGGGGCGGCAAGGCGGGATACGTCCTCTACGCGGGGGGTCAGCGCTTCCTCCTCGACCTGGAGCGCGACGGGGCGGTGGGGCCGCGGGACGGCGCGCCCCCGCGCTGCTACTACCGCGGCACGGTGGACGGCAGCCCGCGCTCCCTGGCCGTCTTCAACCTCTGCGGCGGCCTCGACGGCTTCTTCGCCGTGGGCCGCTCCCGCTACACCGTGAAGCCGACTCGGCGCGGCCGGGAGACGGCCGGCGCGCACATCTACGGGGAGGGCCCGGCCCGCGCTCCGCACCTCTTCCGCAGGGAGCGCTTCAGCTTCGAGACGGTGCCGGCCCGCACCAGCTGCGAGACCCGCGACCCGGCCGGGACAGCGCTGTCGGAGAACGGGCGACGGCGGCGGAGGAGGCGTCGCTCCGTCTCCCGGGCCCGGCAGGTGGAGCTGCTGCTGGTGGCCGACGCCTCCATGGTCCGCAAGTACGGGAAGGGGCTGCAGCACTACCTGCTCACCTTGGCCTCCATCGCCTCCCGGCTCTACGCCCATGCCAGTCTGGAGAACCACGTCCGCCTGGCGGTGGTGAAGGTGGTGGCCCTCGGCGAGAAGGAGAAGGGGCTGGAGGTCAACAGGAACGCTGCCACCACTCTTAAGAACTTCTGCAAGTGGCAACACCAGCACAACCGCCTCGATGATGACCATGATGAGCACTACGATGCAGCCATCCTCTTCACCCGTGAGGTAGGCATTACCCCAACTGACAGCGACTTGGTGTCTCTTGAACCATGTGTTGTACAGTAGCTGGGCTGTATCAAGGCCAGCCTGGTGGCACTCCACCCATGTTGACCAGCTCTGCCCAGTGGTTGCTTCTCTGTTTGCATCTTCAACATTTCCAGTGGGTTGCAATGCGTCCTGGGGATCGGTACCCATATGCACAGCTGCTAGGGATGGAAGAGGGGTTGAAAAGCCAATAAACTGTATGCATTTGTGTGACCTCCTCCCCAGCAAGGTCATCCCCAGTGTGGTTCTGCACCCATTCATGCCAGTGCAGTGCAGGGACTCCTGCCAGGGTGGAGAGGTGGTAATTTGCCAGAGCGGGGAATTTGGCTGAGGCCACCTAACTTATCTCTGCTTGAGAGATGATGTTGTTCCATCTTTCCTGGTGAGATGTTACACACGCAGTCCCTCTCTCTCTGGGAAGGTGAGCCAGGCAAAAAGGGCTGATAACACTCCCTAGCCTACATTAGTCCCTAAACAAACCTGCTAGTGAAAATGGGGGAGAACACCTTAAAAGTGCATGCAGCTTCCTTGTTGAGTGCATTGAGATGCTATTTCCAGCAAGAATAGCTCCACCGCACTGGAAGGCAGCAGCACTTGTGGTTCAAGGGTAGGACGTAAATGCAAACCGCAGGTAAACAGAGCTGCAGAAGTTGAGTGAGTTGGCTAGTGGCAAGGGGATGAAATCTCTTTCTCAAAGTGCAAAAATGGGTGTCCTGATCAACTGTAGGTCGGATCTGGCTGGAATTATCCATGCAGAGTTGAACCTTGCTCAGTGCCCAGCTGTTAATTAATTGCATTGCCAGAGGTCGTTAAGGGACATTGCTCCAGTAGACTTGTGGCTGAGTTTATGCAATGAAGTTCTGTAAGAATATCCCTTCAGCGGTTTGGGTTTGGTGTTTTCTTCCTTCCCCCAAGTGCGAAAAAAATAACTGCATGACTTTCCGTTCATTTGAGTTCTCCTGCTTTTCTACATCATAGCAGCCTGCCAAAAAGGATGCTTTGGATGGTTTGTGGAAGGAGTTGCTCCAGAAGGGAAAAAAAAAAAAAGTGCCTGGCTTGCTTTTATAGCTGTAAATAGTTGAAACATTAAGTTCTGTGTCAGTCAGGCATCACTTGTAAAGGGGGAGCCTTTTTTAGCAGTTTTAAGTCCCATTGGTCCAATTTGCGAGCTTTCATTTTTTTATCGTTATAATCTGAATGAAAACAGGCTACCTAGGCTGGGTCAGAATGCTCTCACTTTTTGCTGTAAACATCCTTTCTAATGGCTTATTAATTAATCCTGTGCCAGAATCCATCACTTCACCAAAGTGTTTTTCTCTGACAGTATTCCCATTTATTTCTCTGGGTTTTATTACAGTTCAGAAACTTTTAGGGTGGCAGACTGTGAATCTTAACATCAATTGCCAAGTTAATTTGGATTGAGATAGGATGGGAATTTAAAGAGCACTTGCTTTACAGATGCTTATGTGTAATTCTTTGTATGGATGCCCTGCTGCCAGAGTAAGGGTGTGCTGCTAATCAGTAATCCACTTTCAAAGACGGCTGAGCAAAGCATCTTCCATGCCTAGAGTTAACTCTTTTGGATGTAAGTAGTACCTAAACTAAACAAAACGTCACAGTTCCTGTGATCTCCTTCCACTCTTAAGATGCAAACATTGCTTGTACTGTTACTTAGGGATGTAAATGATTTGCAAGAAAAAGGCACAGGCTACTGTTTTCTTGGTTTACATTTTAACAGGTTTAATTATGGGATTAGCTCCTCAGTGCAGTTCAGTATAACTTAATCTGCTTTAACGATTTGCTGTTTGCACACACACGTTGTTTGGCATTATATTTAAGTGTCTGACTCAATAAGAACAAGAGCATAGTTTCTTGCTACATGTGTTCACAATGTTATTTGCAGGGAGTATGTGTGAGTGAGTCCACAGGATTTTTATATGCTTACGCTTGAAATGTCAACATGAATCTATTTGCTCCTCCTGGCATGTAAATACAAAAAGGGTTAAAGGATGAAAAAGCAGTAGAGATATTTCCCGGAGAAAACAGCCCCACTTTGAACTAAAGAGAGATTTTTTCCAGTTTAGCTTTTCAAAGAGAGTGGCAGCAATTGGCAGGAGGATCCAACTTTTACAACTATGTTTTGAATGTATGAAGTACGTTGCTTAGCTACTAGACGCCAAGCCATGGCTTGCATGTTTTGATGGGCTCTGAATACCGTCATGCTGATTTTTGAGCATCCAGATGTCTTCTTCTAAATGGCTTGTTTTTTAGGCATGGGGCAAATGTGTGAGGTACATTTTCCGTCTTTGTTTACTAACTGAGGCCACCATGAACTTCGTGTCTCTGTCAACAGAATAATATTTGCAAATCATTTGTCAGCTGAACGCATGTCCTCAGCTGTATGTAACTGTTTACATGTAGTTAGAATCTAAATGCTTGTTGTCATACAAGTCTCTAATATACTAATTATCTTCATTCTGAAGTGACATTTACTTGGATGCTATTTCTGACACCAAAAGAGGCTCTGAAAAGATACCAGCTTTACTTGAGTTCCTTATAAAGGAAAAATCCCATCAGAATTCAGCACCATCACTTCCTCCTCTTCTGTTGTCATTGCTTGTTTAAAGATATAATAATAACCACTGACAGATTAAGAGTGTGCTGGCAGTTTTCCCTCATTACAAAATTAGTACTGGTAGTTCAAATTATGATCAACATCATCATTCATACTAGGAAGTACTTCCTATGCTAAAAGACTCTTAGAAGGAGATTTAGTGATTCTGCATTAAAACATCTACTCACTTTCAGTCATAATCTGTATTTAATTTGATAAGGGCTTTAAAGCAATAGTCCTGCAGAGCACAGTAAATAGTAAATAAATATGAGCATGAGTTCAGTTTTGGGTGATACACGCAACATGTTAAAGCTATTTTAAGGTTCTGTATTGTGTATCAATAATGGCAAGGGCCATGTAGCTATCCATTAGCTGCGCCAAATCCTATGTTTACTCTGTAGCTGCAAGGAAAACTACAGTAACATGTCTAGTTGTTATTGTCACCTGTGTAGGAGGTTGGGAAAGCCTTCAATGAGCACAGAAATTATCTATCACTAAGTATCACAGAAACTTATTGAGGTTCCACAGTGATTGATTATGTTCCCAAAATTTAATAAGGAGAGGTGTATTTTCCCAGTGGTCCCAAAATCTCATTTTTACCCATGATGGACAGCATCAGTCTGTCTGAGTACTGACTTGTCAGTACCAACAGGTGATCATTTTCTAATAAAACCAGAGCTCTCTAAGGTGGCTTGGCCTTTACAATCTTAGAGAATACATGGGTCCCCTGCTGTTTGACTGCTTTCTGGCTGAGGCCTTGACAGCAGCTGTAAATTTTTGGGCCTCATACATCCTCAGAGCATCTGCCATGGAATGTAGTGATCATCTGATGGCCAGGTGAGTCCTTTGCACTGTGAGGCAGTGGAGAAGTATCTGTTTGGTGGGGAGGAGGAAGAGCTTTTAAAGTCTTCTTCCCCTGCTTTGTTCCCAATGGCAGTGAAGTCAACAGCAAATTTAGAATGTAGCCTTTTTCAGGCTTTTTGTTTGTGAACAGTTCTTGGAAGCTGGAAACAGGTTATCTACAGTCTTCAGGTTTTTATGGGTTCAACAAAATACTTGGTAGGTTATTTGTCACAGTAGAAAAACATGTTGGACATGGCTTGCAAACCGCACTTGAACTCAGACTGTTCTTTTCCAAGGTCTAGCCTGCTCTGTAATTATCCTCTAGAATTCATCCAGTCTATTTCATTAGTGACCCTTAGTTAAATTTCAAGTGAACTATTGAATGCATTTGGACATAATCCAGTTCTCTTGCTTTCCTTTTCCCCCAATTCTGAATCATGTGAAAATTAAAACAGATATTTCTCACAGTAGATACAGGCAACAAGAGCAAGAGAAAAAATACTTTCTAAAGTGCTTGTTAGCATCATCCGTGATAGCGCCATCATGCCTGGCTCTAACAAAAAGTTCATGCTCAAGCCAAAGGCTTCTGTCCTGCTTTTTTCTACACAGTAATTATATGGGTCTTGTGTGTATGATTTAGTTTAACTGTCAATCTGACAGTGCTGTTGAAATTTAACAGCAAGCTTTTGATTATCTCAGCTCTACAGATGATAATTTCATTGCATGGAGCACATGCTTTCCTTGGCTCTAGTTCTTTCTTTTTGTTTTTTTTTTTTTTTTTTTTTTTTTTTTTTTTAGTATCATCTTCCCACAGTTATTATCCCATATTATTACTAATAAACAGGTCACTGTACCAGCAGTCAATAGAATCATATGTTTCACAAATGTTTATAACTCTGAAGAAATGATAGTCTGATGTGTTTACCAGTTTCATAGCATTTTCACCAATTTGGTTACAAATCTGATGTTTAGATAATGTCCCTTGGGAAAATAAAGTGGGAACTAATTTGTGCAGAAGGAGCATGGTTCACACTAACCCACAGAGATGCTCTGGATTTTTCCCACAGAGGAACAATAGGTTGGGCATGGTAAATTGCACATTTTAAGTTGTTCACCAGCTACCTGTTTCACTACTGAAACTTTGTTTGCCCTTCTCCTGATACAGAGTCCAAATGCTTTGTGTGCATTTTGTCAATAGTTTTAAATAATCTGTGGTTTGCATTGTGCTGCTGTGTTCTCTTTCTATGCTTTAGGCGAAAAAAAAAAACACCTTTCTAGATCTCTCTTCAAAGCATAAAAACTTAATCCAGTTTAGGCTCTATTTCTAGTACTTTGTTGCACTGTTCCTGGGTGAGGAGTGCCTGGGGTCCCCTGTACCATATTAGGGAAGAAGAACATCCAGTTTGGTAAGGAGGTAGTTTCTGAAGCCAGCAAGTGTAGCATGCATGTGCTAAACTGAGCCCAACAAGGCATCACGCATACATTGTGTTTCCTTGAATGTCAC